GACTAGTTGACCTGTTGGTTGGAGACTAATTGACCTGTATAGGATGGTGGGCTACGGACTTTCCTTTAAATATTATGATTTGGTGTTATCCTCTACTAATTCATATGATAAATTGATTGAGAGTTATAAAGAAATCATTATTGTTCCGACAGGAAAAAGGTGCCTACTCTATTTACTGAGCCAATAATTTACTAACATTAAAAAATACTGTGATAGCCATGACTTCTTACTTGTTTAGTCTAATTACTGAAATGCATATTTTTAAGACAATATTCTTATTATTATATAGATTTTTGTTATTACACATATTTACTGTTATTGCATTATTCTACTGCTCATGCCACTAGATTATTATTATTATTGATATAAATACTGATAATATTTAATAATATTGATTCATCGTATTGATATTAAGCATGTGATATACTGAGCACGTGATATAGAATGCATGGATAGCATGTGTACATTAATATATGATTTTATTATATTAATTTGATTTCAACAATCTTTATTGATGTTTTGATTTGATGCTTTATCCGATTTCTATACTGATTGATATTACAAATACAATGATTATTTTTTTAGATTTAATACTCATATTGGTTTCTTTCTTTATTGGCTTATGTACAGTAGTGTTTTTACTGTTTATAAATTTCACTAATATTACATGTGAATTTTACTGTTTATGCACTGATTCAATAATCATATGAATTATATATATTGACATTTTAAATTATAGAATTAATTTTATTATTTATTATTGCTAGATGATGTTAGATAGCTCTTATTGTTGTTTATTTAAAGGATAAATAAAATATTCTTCCAATTTAGATTATGGGGCATCACATATAATCCCTCCAACCACCAACGCCCGTCGACAATAATCCCTCCGACCATCGTCGCCTGCCTACTATGACCCTCCAACCACCATCGGTCGTGGACTACGTTCCCATCAACCACTGTTGCCCACTGAATATAATCCATTTGACCACTGTCAACACCTATTTACGATCTTTTTGACCTCTGTCGCCTGCTGACTATGGTTCCTCAGACCATTGTTGCCCGCTGCATACAATCCGTTCGACCACCGTTACCCATAGACTAAGGTCCCTCTGACCACCTTCGCTTACCCACTACAATCCCTCCAACCACCATCGACCATGACCACAATCCATCGGACTGCTGTCACCTGTCGACTATATTCCAGTCGACGTCCTTTGACCACCCAACTAAAGTCCTTCAAACCTCTTTTGGTCGCTTAACTATGGTCCCTTCGACCTCCAGTGCCTAAATACGATCATATTGACTACATGAACATGCTAACTTTCTTGTAAGAATAACTCTAATATCAATGCATTCTTATAGTACTTCCAATCATGTAACATGTTCATTATGATCCATATTTGCTATATTGAGTCAAAGCCTTCTCTCGAGGAAGAGCCTCATTTATAATCCACGACAAACACTAGTAGAATCATTTTGACTGGCTCAGGCTCTGCGATTCATCCCCTTTTAATGGGTTTTTCATGTAAAAATCTTGGTGTCTTTTATGACTCTTACATCTCCCTCTTTTATTTGTGTTAGAACTTCATAGAAAGCTAAAGTGCTAAACCCTGTATCTCTCTATCATTGTGAATATTCCCAAAAACAATAATAATTATTTAATAATTATATAATAATCAAATAATTAATATAAATTATTATTTTTAAAATTATTTCAATTCAAAAATGTTTTAGGGTTTATTTGTGATAAGTACATTGTTTCAAAAGTATATATACTTTATTTCCAAATTCCGACTAAAAAAATGATCATGAAAATTAGATTTTTTTTAGATGAATAAAATATATAACTCAATTATATCTATTAATTTTAATTTTATTATAAATTTTTTAAAAATTATCATGAACGAAAACTCAGTGACAAATAATTACATATATATTTTTTATTAATTTTCGTTTACTATTGACAAATGCGGAGCAAAATACGGTTGTGGTCTCACGGATACTGTATCGGATTAGCGTATAATTTCCAAAGAGTAAGCAAGCACGTTAGCCTGAGCTGGCAGCGTAAGCCACGAGACGTAGCGGATTACAAGCCGCAACGCCTCCTGTTTTTCAGGCTTCGCAGCTCTCGACACGTAGCAATGGTCCTACTACTAGCGGGCCCCACAGGCATACTCCTCTTTTAACCCCCTCCAGTGTGAAAGCCAGCTCTTTTGATTCGCAGGGGGGAAATGTAAAAATTTCATAAATAATTTTTTTTGGGAAAAAGTTGGGCCTTTCATTAATATAATTTAAAAATTGCAATTAAAAGGTTGACTATTTTTTTATTTTCAAATTTTTTTCTAACCAAACAAACCGAACCGGGCCTAACAACAGCCGCATTCAGCTTAGTTTTGGTCATAATTCCGAACGTTGAACATGGACTGTGGGATTAATTATTATATGCAGATATTAAATGTTTTTCGGAGATTAATCAAAATGAATCACGTCACATCTTCGTTTTGTACTCTGGGCTCGATAATGCTCGATATCATGCTCTGGTACTGTTGATGTGGCTGTATCATATCCGCCTCCGAATGTAGAGCTGTGTCCAACCTCCGCACTTTGTGAGGAGCTTCCTCTTCTACAAAGTATCAAGTTCATCTTGATGGCTACCGCTTCAGTTGGGATAACTTTTTTACTATTTTGTAAACTTATTATAGATAAAATAATATTTTAAAATTCTTATAAAATGTAGTATTTCAATACAATTTTTTTAAAAAACTGTGAGTAAATGCTGATCAAATAAAAATTGTAGTTATAATTTGAAAAATAAAGCTGTAAAAAAATATCCCAAATAAAACCCACTTCAACCAAGTGAATGTTTTTAATATCCATTTAAATATAAAAATAAATTATATAAACATATCCTATTGTATTTTAAGTCTGAATAAATATCAAAATATTTACTGATTCAATATATTTTCAAGATATTTGAATCTTACTTTAATGCAAAGTATGTTATAATAATTTAATTTAATTTAATTTTTTTACCTATTTAGGATTCATTTGAGAAGATTGTAGTACTTTATAAAATTAATTATGAAATTACTATAAGAAAAAATTGCTTAGAATTTGTTTGAAAAGGCTGTAGTTAAAACTATTGTGAGAAAAACAAAATTTTAAAAGCTATTTATTATAAAATGCATCTTCCTAATATAGAAATTTATTTTGAAGCAGTGAGAAAGCAAAAGTCAAATATAAATTATAGTTATGATCTAGAAAATAAAAGAGTAGGAAACTTATCGCACACTAACCCTAGCCACCGTGGTCGTAAAAAAATATCTTTTCATCGCTTTTTTTTTTAAAATAATAAAAAAATAACAAGCGAATAGTAGCCAAACTAAATTGTGATTGTAATATGTAAAACAAAGAAGTGAAAACACTATCCCAAGCAAACTCTTCATTAAATTAAAATAAATACATTTAAATTTCATTTTTATCAAAACCTTCCCACAACAGAGAAATTATTACGCGCGGAGTCCAGATAAGAGAACCGTCCAGATTCTGTGAGGGTACACAACAAAAAATAAATCTATGTATTTGTTATATATTTACTGTGTACTTTTATAAAATCCAGACAGTTCTTCAATCTGAACTCCGCATGTAATAATCTCTTCCACATTAATAGTCTTCATAGAAAACAGAAGTAGCTTTTTGGAGGAATGTCTCTTCTTTGAAAGAGAAGTAGCTTTAAGGAGGTTGTTTCTTCTTCTTCAAAAGACAAGTAGATTCCTCGAAACTAAACCCTTTGAGTCATAGCACCAAACCAAAGAAAAAAAAAAACTTATAATCATTAAATAAAAAAAAAATAATATGTTCTCCTCATAATAAATTTAAATTGGAATAACGCTTATTCCCACATGCGAATTGAACATATTTTTCAATAGATCTAAAGATGGATGCAAGGAAAATGCGGCATATATAAAAAAATGGCCATTATTATAATTTTTTTACAATATATTAAATAAAGATAATAATAAATAAATATTCAATTGAGCAGGTGCGAAAAACGTTCTTTATTAACGCAGCTCTCGTTGAAATGTTAATGAAGAAATTGATTAATGAGAGTAGAAAAAAATTCTATATTATTTTCTTATGACTTACAATATTTTAAAATATGAGTAGTGTTTCTCACATCGTTCAAATTAATTTATTTTCACAACATCCCTCCCCATACTTTTATAGAAATAGATTATAATATTGAAAATAAGTAACCCTTAAATTTGAATAATATACTTTTAGGAGGATTTACATATAAGTCACAAGTTTTTTTATGTATTTTTATATTTAGTATTCAAACTTTTAAATTATATACAAAATATAACTAATTAGGAATGCAAACGAGTCGCGTAGAGTCGAGCTCGAGTCATACGCTTATGCCATTGGCAGTTTAGTCTCTCGCACTCAAGCTGCTCAAAAAGTAATATAGTCACGCTTCATCCCAATCATACTCGAGCTTGATAATCCAACGAACTCCAAAATTTTCTTGAGCTCAAAAATTTGCTCAAGCAAGCTCTTGAGGCGGCTTGACTCATTTACACCCCTATAACTAACATATTTTGATGTAATTTAGATATTTAAATGTAACATAAATTAATATAGAAACTTAAATACTAAATCTATAGATATATTAAAATTCAAAATTATATGACATATTTGTAAATCTCCTTTTTATCATGTATGACATAAGAAAAATGGCATTTGCTGGCCAGCTTATTACATCCCACTTTTATATATATATACAACATTCAATTTTATAAACATAGTAATTATTCCTCAAAACAATTATTCAAAATATATTTAGATTTAAAAATATAATATAATTAGCTAGAGGGTATAGGCCAAAAAGCTGGCCAGGCTTCCGCGAGAAGTGCCGTTGATCACACGGATCTATGGCCCCAACCAAGCAAGAGGAGAATATCCCCCCTCTATTTAAGTTCCTTATATCTCTCCCTTTGCTTCTTTCTTAAATCCCACCTCGATATCACAGCCCTCCTCGTCTTCGTCTTGCTCTTACCTTCCTTCCTAATTATTCCTCCTCTGCTCCTCTTCAGATCCTTTTGGGGTCTCCAACTTCTTTGTCTAAATTTCTTCGCCGACCTCCCATGTCTATGGACGAAAGCTTAGAGTTGCCTCCAGGGTTCCGGTTCCACCCTACCGACGAAGAGATTATCACACACTACCTCACCCCTAAAGTTGTGAATCATGGCGCCTTCACTGCAAGAGCTATTGGCGAGGTGGATCTCAACAAGTGCGAGCCTTGGGATCTTCCAAGTAAGAAAAAAATCTTTTTTTCTTCTTTTTAATCAAGTTATGTACTTTATTTGGTCTAAAAGATAGATTTTTTTTGGCAGGTAAGGCGAAGCTGGGCGAGAAAGAATGGTATTTTTTCTGTCAAAGGGATAGAAAGTATCCAACGGGGATGAGGACGAACAGGGCGACGGAGTCCGGCTACTGGAAGGCGACCGGAAAAGATAGGGAGATCTATAGGGGGCGACTGTTGATTGGAATGAAGAAAACTCTGGTTTTTTACAGAGGAAGAGCTCCTAAAGGGGTTAAGACCAACTGGGTCATGCACGAGTTCAGGCTTGAAGGAAAATCATCCTTGTCTAACCTCCCCAGGTCTGCAAAGGTACGTATTTGCTCATTGATATTACACGGTGAGTCGTATATTCCATTTCTTAGATATTCACAGTTGAAGAAAAGGTTTTTAAGGCGATTGAGGTATCCTAGGAGGTCCAAGGGGGCTTTTTTGTTTTATTCCTGGTTGCTTTAATTTTGTGGCCCGCTTTCAATCGGAGCTCCGTTTGCTCAAATTTGATATTCGTGAGCAGCATGTTTGTGTCAAATCACCAATTTTTTTATTACTGTTCTGGAAAATATTCTCTGAGTAGACCATGTGTTCAGAGTAAAAATTCTTTCAGCTTGATTTCCTTCTGTAAAAAAATTAATTTTTTATAATAATGAAGTGAGAATATCAGGTCAAAATTCGATTAAATCTTAAAATTTATCTTGAGATTCAGGTTAAAGTCATCTGAAATCAAAATAATTTTTAATTTCTTCGACTGTCCTGTAAAATAAAAAGAGAAGATCTTTAAAAATACGCAAAACCCACCCATCCTTATTTAGCAATCTCCCTCTTTTACGGGCTTTAGACTTCAATCTTAATCTAAAACAGAAAAAAATTCTATCTTTTTGCAGGATGAATGGGTTGTTTCCAGGGTGTTTCACAAGAACAGTCCAGCTCTAAAGAAAATTCCAATGCCTGGTGTCGTCGTCTCCAACCTGGCCAGAATGAACTCCTTCACCGACGAACTAATGGACTCCCCCAAGCTTCCTCCTTTAACGGACTCACCCTACTTCAACTCCGGCGCCATCGACGTAGATAGCTTCGACGTCAAATCATTCATGGAGAGCTCAGCTCCACTGAATAACTACTACTTCTCCTCCATGAACAACCTTCCATATTCATCCAACCCTCCCCCATGCTCCAGCTACCAGCAACAATTCCCATACTCCACAGCGATGCAGGGACATCAATATTGCAAGGCCGAGCAGTTCTCGAACCAGTCGATGATCAGCCAGGACACCGGCGACCGAAACACGGAGACCTCCTCGGTGATTTCCAAAATTGACATGGCGAGTTGCGCTTCCTATGGCGGCGGCGGCGTAATCGACCTCGCGAATTTGTGGAGGTGCTAATTAAAAGATAACTAGATAGGATCGAAGATTGGTTCAAAACTCAAAAGTGTGTGCTTAATTAGTTTGATTTGTTTGGATTAGTAACTGTTTATTAGTTTGTTATTGGAGGGATAAGCGGCTTTGTGTTGAGGAGCTCGAATCAAGAAATACACTGTACATATAAAGAAAGAAGAATTTCGATTTTTCTAATTGATTGTTGTTGGATTTATCGTCACACTCCTTTGTTGGTGTTGAGAAGAGTTTTTTACTGCGAGGATTTAATTATCTTTCGATTATTTTCATACAGAAATCAAATGTTTTCTTCATGAACCTGTAATTTCATTATCTTATTTATTGCAATTAAAAAAAGTTTATCTAGTTTAATCTTTTTTTGGCATTTTTTAATTGTATTTTTTTTAATATTCTACTTATTTCAGGAATATTTCTGATTTGTTGCTTCTATTTTTATTATTAATAAATTAAATATTGTTATAAATTTATTTTTTTCTTAAAATATATATTATGATTAGTATAAGTTCAATGATAATAGAGAATAATCAATCAAGAAGGTCCTTTTATTAGTTTTGTTTGATTGTTAGTTTCTTTAATGTCATTAATGGTTGGTCTAAATCTTCAGTGCCGTCATTAATTTTGTGATTAATTGAAACTGTATGTTAGTGCTGCTGTTAATTAACTTTTGATGACTAAAATTAGTTCGGGCACCTATTGTATGTGCTTATATTCAAAGTCTCTAATAAATAAGGCTCAGCCAGTGCATGAACCTAATGATGCTCACCAAGACAATAAGATTTCTATCCATCAATGCTAGTAGAACTTTGTGGTATAATAAGATATATATTTAAAATAGTATGTTAGATATTAATTATTTTTCATTTACTTAAAAAAATGAGATAATATGTGATTAGGGATTTGTTTAAAATAACTCTCTCACTACTCGTTTGTTTTTTTAGAACACATCACCGTTCTATTTAGCTATTACATAAATTTTTTAATAGTTTTCACTATTTTTTTTAATTTTTTGATGAGGAGAACCTATTTTTTTACTATTAGAATTAATGTATGAAAGTTTTGAGAAAATAATAATTTGATTTTTTTAATAAGAATGTATTTATAACATCAATAATAACTTTCAAAAACTACTTTTCGAACTTCTTCACAATCACTTTTATAAAATTTTGTAGTTATCCTCAATGGGCCCTAATATGCTTGAAAATATGTGATTTGAAAATATTATTGAGTTATTTTTAATTATAAAATTAAATTAAAACTCTTTTTTTTCAAATTTGAATATGTGGTTGAAATTTTATTTTAATCATAATTTTAAATATTTAATTACATGAATATTTATATGAAAATTAGCACCACACTATCACTTGAGTACATAAATTAATAAAAATCTCTTTTTAATTATTATGCTAATCACTCTGCTAATTTTAACTGAATAATCAAATAACTGAATTCCATTTTTTTATATAATTTCATTTTAATCAAATAACTGAATTCCATTTTTTTTATATAATTTCATTTGAAGAGTGTAAACTTTTTTTTTTGAATTAGTGGCTAAAAAAAATTTAATTATATTCATTAAAAGTTAATAATGATTGTACATAAACTTTTATTACTGCAAAGGAAGCTTATGCAGACACTTTTTTAAAAGCCTCTTTTTTCCTCTCCTCAAACTGCAGAATCCAAAGTGGTCATTTCAAATTTAATGCAAGTACGTTGATGGAAGCCCACATGACGAGTCCCTCTCATATCTAAATTTTCTTATCAATATTTTCATTTCATATCATCACTATATAAAAACAAAGACACCTATATATCTCTAAAGACCCACAAGGCCAACCATTGGTCCAAAATCTCACCCAACAAAAGGCCATAAGCCATCACTTCCACATTTTAATTTCTAACTATCATCCTCTCATGAAAGCCACCTCCATTCCTCTCCCCTAGTTTTTACTAGATTTGTAAGGGCACAAAGATATTTGTAAATGTAATATTTTTTTTTATTGTTTTTTTGGGGGACGTTTAGGGGCGTTGAGCGCGGGTGAGAGGGGAGGAATTGCTTCTGTCGACTGTCTAGCTGCAATCCTGATCTCAAGTGTTAGAATATTTATTAGGAAAAAGAGGGAGTTTAGTATTTGGATATTTTACAAAAAATTAGGATACACACATAAAAGAAATAAAATTATAAGAGAATTAAAATTTTATGTGAAAATTTTGCAAAAGGAAAAAAAAAAGGGACTTGACTTATATGAAATAGGTCCACTAATATTTGTCGTTGGTTGCAAATAATGTCATTTCTTGTAATAAAAGAAAATGGTTATATAATATAGTAAACATTAAGTTTTTATAAACAAAAAAGGGATTGGATCGTCGCTCACTTCGTGTGCTCTGCTAGGGTTTTCTCCTAGCAGACCGCCAGCCGTTTTCAGCTTCATCTAGCTACTAATGTCCAGATTTTTTTCCATTTTTCTGTTGGTTGTGATGTCCAGTTTCTTGTTTCGTTTGTTTTTTTTGTGAATTTTCCTCCTCCAATCATATCTGGTCGGCATGGCGGTTGATCGCGTGTGGGATCCTGATTTCCTTGACAACAAATCGTCTTCTCGATCATTTCTTTAGGCACTTTCTGGTGTTTCCACCCCGATTGCATTTCCTGAGCTTAAAGTGGTTACTCATTGTGGTTTGCCATCCCATTGGGTTTCTGAAGAGGAGGTTCTCGCTTTGGCGACGCCTTTTGAGTTTTCTCTAGTTAGTTTCTTCCCGGATCGCTGGCCATCCATCAATGCAATTTGTAAATTCTTCTTTAATCTTAAACTCAATGGTATTTTCTCTGTTACTGTGCTTAATGCTAAGCATGTGTTGATTAAATTAAGCAATGATTTGGATTATAATAGAGTTTTTGCACACCGTTCTTACTTCATATAAGAAGCTTACTAAGTGGTCTTCTTATTTTGATGTTAACGTTGAATCCCCTGTCATTCATATTTGGGTTTCTTTTCCTAACTTGTGCCCTCAATTCTTCTCTTCATGTATCCTGCATGGGCTGGGGTCTTTGTTCGGCAAACCCCTCAAATCGGATAATGCTACGGCTGTTGGCTCCCGATCGTCTGTTGCTTGCGTTCTTGTAGAAATGGATATTACCAAACAGTATTCGAATCATATTTGGCTTGGCCCGGATAAACTTGGCTATGTTTAATCGGTGGAAATGGATGATTTTCTAAATTATTATGGCCATTGTAAGTCTATTGGGGATTCAAATTTTGAGTGTGGTTAAATTGCAACCTAGGCAACCCGAAAAAGTTAAGTTTGTTTCATTTATAAAAGGTGTTGAGGTTGGGTTGTCGGGTGTGCAATTTCAGTCGGTCGCTAGCTGAAGTTGTGGAGGGAACTGTGAACGGGGTTGTTTCTTCTCCTATTCCTGCTCTCGTGATTGCTTCTCCTTTGAAACTATTGAATTCTACTGTTATGCCTTTACCTTCCCCTCCCTTACTTTGTGTTAATGTTTCGGGATCATCTTTTGAACCTGAATTGGTTCCAATTGTTAAAAAGTGAGGAAGTGTTGTTAGGGGATAAGTCAGTTTTCCTTTGGTTCTTAATGAATCTGTAGATGTTGTTGTGAAATCTATTTCCCATGTTGCTCGGTTTTTTGGTGGTGAGGCTGGAGATTTGTCTTGTGGTTCTAATCTTAAGGCTAGTTTATCTGTAGAGGTATCCGAGGATCGATGTGGTGCCTTCTGACCCTGCTGCGTTAGTTGGTTCTAACCCTCTTTTTTTTCTCTCTTTTTTTTACAGAATGAGAGGTCTGTTTATAGTTTTTTAAGAGTGGCATGGCTAGTACATAGTTAGAAGATCAAGGGTAGGTTGGTAGTATTTTGGGTGGACGACAAATATTGATTCACTTAATTATGGACTATTTATCATGCATTTAAATATCTTAACCATGTTAGAATTTAGCGATCTTGAGTTTCTTGTATTTGTCTCGTCGATTTGCTCGATTCGACTATAAGAATGTCACATTTGGAAATCACATGGTCATCCAACTTATGCTTTGAAGGTTTCAAATGTGGTTTGGACCCTCGATTTGGACCCATATGGGCTCAGATTAGATCGAATTTAGTGTCGTTGGGTTCTTATTTTTATATGTTCAATTCAGTTATAAGTTTGTTTAAATCAAAGTTCTAGTGGTCTCCAAAATTAATTTTGAAAATTTGCGATGAAAGTTGCCTCGAGATTTGTGCCTGATTAAGAATTTTTTTTCATAATGTATCAATAATTTAATCAAAATTTTTTATTAAATTCATATAAATATTTTTGGGGCTAAAAAAATTAAAGATAAATATATTCATAAAATAAATCATTTGATTTAAAAAGTTATGGTGAAATCGATTTACAAAACGCACACCTGATTGTCCTAAAACCCATATTGTACTGACATGTATTAATTTCTTAAGGATTTACACCAGTGCCAAAAAATTAAGTAAAAATTAGTGTAATTAAATCACTACAATATATTCATTATGCAAAAGTGAGTTTGTGATTTGGACTTATATTGACTGATGAAAACTTTATTTGGTAGGGTTAAAATACAGGCTATATATTACATTGTGTGCATGAAAATTTATTTTTGAAATTTTCTCTTGGGTGGTTGATGTGATGCGATATTAAGCTCTCTATCTATTAATATAATTAAGGGTAATGCTATGGCACTAGATTTTGGCACTGCAGTGCTATGCTCTCTATTGAGAGCGCTCTAGCACTGTGAATTCAAAAATCACTACACTAGATCAAAATTTTATCAAATTATTAAATTCGACAAAAAATTTCATTTTGGCAAATATTTCCCCTTATGATAGCTTAGAGAGAAAGAAAAGGATTCTAGTGAGAGAAAGTTGGGTTTAGGAGAATTTTGTCTATTTTCTACTATCAATCTAGTTTGAAAAGTTGTTGGATTGAGGTAGGTTGTATTTTGCCAAACTTAATTTTTAATAATATAAAAAATTTGGGACTTTTCTGATTAAAGTTATAAATTTGTAGTGTAAAAAATGTAAATGATTTCTCATTTGTTAAACTTTCTTTGTGTAACTTTTTGTATGATATAAATACGACAATTCTATACATTTCAGTATTTTTTTAAAAGTTTCCACAAGGAAGACAAGAAAGTGGACTATATTTTGGAACTTTAAAAATAACTTTGACCTTAAAAACTAATAT